GTGTCTCACTCAAACCAACATCCTCTTGTGGAATCGGGGGACCTCACCGGGCCCCCACTTCCCCCTGAGGCCACTAGAGGCAGGAGAGACGTTTTCCTCGCTGGTGCAGCTACCGAGAAGGCGCACGTGCTCCTATAAACATGCCTGTTGGAACCCACAGAAAGCAGAGGGGCATGTTGGGACTAGGAAGGGGACTCAAGGGAGGGGGAGAGGACAAGGGAGAGCAAAGGGAGAATGTGAGCGCGACAGAAATGCATTCCATACACAAGAAATGGTACCGTGAACCCACTATTAGGGATAGGTAATACATCCCAATAAAAACATAGAGAGTAAAGCAGGGAGGAGCGGGTCTTATCCAGTCAACCAAGGGTCTCAGACCCCTCTGAGGGGTCCCTGCAGACCACAAGCTGGGACACCAGCTCTTCCCAGCCCATCTCTCTACTCCTTTGGAGGACAAGGGACACGGAGCCCGCGGGTTGCAGTCCTAACCCCGCCAGGGGTCGAGCAGTCATCTTCGAGCTTCCTTTCCGGAGTCTTGTGATGTGCTGGGCGGTGTCCTCGGGCCCCGCCTGCTGGAACACGGGGTGGCAGTCAGTGGCTTCAGATGAGGAGCAGAGTTCTTATCAGGACAGCCGGAAGCTCTGCCCATTAGACTTCCGGCTGAGTTGCGATAAGTCCTCCGTTTAGCCAGGGCGTGCCTCCCCAGCTCCTGTGGAATTCAAGGAAGCCTATCTGGCACCTAGGTCTTCTTCACTCTGTGGGAGGGAGCACTTCCTGTTTGCTTAAACTTCGAGGAAGCCGTCACAGTCGGTTGATTTGGTCACACACAGAATAGGAGGAGGTCGTACCGGCTTTCCCTAGAGTCCCCGAGTGTGTCTCAGGGGTCGGTCAAGTGCCTGAGCTGGTACCTAACCCCTTTCCTCACTCTCAGGCCTGGTGGCAATTGCCTTCACCTGCTGGCATCTCACCAGCCCTAGAATCTCCTCCTTGACCTTCTTACTACCCCCACGAAGAAGGCAAGTGAACATAGAGACTCCACAAATGCCCCCACCTTAAGCACAGCTTGGGCAAAAATAACTAAAGTAATGTCAACACCAGGAACCAAACACAACACCAATATCGACCCAGCACCAAAACCCTGAGTCCAGTGCTGATGCCAAACCACACCAACACCGTAGACCCAACGCCAGTCAAGACCAACACAGTGACCCCAGGTCAATGTCATCAATGCCAGTACCAAAAAGGGCATCGCTCAGTCGGCTAACTGCCTAGCATGCACCAAGCACCAGACTCCATGCTCAGCTCTGCAGGGTAGCACACACCCAGAATCCCAGCACTTCTGAGGGAGAAGGATCAGAAGTTCAAGGTCACCCTCAGGTACAATGAGAGTTCAAGCCCAGCCTGGGCCATGTGAGACCCTGTCTGGAACAAAAGGAGGGGAAGCCGGAGGGATGGCTCAGTGGTTAAGGGCACTGGCTGCTCTTCAGAGGACCTGAGTTTGGTTCCCAGCACCCACACGGCAGCTCACAGCCACCTGGAACTCCAGCTCCAGGGGTGCAACACCCTCTTCTGGCCTCCTCAGACACTGCACACACACAGGTGCATATGCGTGAGTACTGTGACCCATAGCAAGAGAACCCACGAAGCAGGCAAGCAAGCTGGTGCGCACACGCACACACGCACACGCACGCGCACACACACGAGCACACACGCACACGCGTGTGCACACACTCGAGCACACACACGAGCACACACGCACACGCGTGTGCACACACGCGAGCACACACACACACAGAGACAATTAAAAATTTTAGGGCCGGAGAGATGACTCAGAGGTTTAGAGCACTGGCTGCTCTTCCAGAGGCCCTGAGTTCAATTCTCAGCAACCACATGGTGGCTCCCAACCATCCGTAATGAGATCTGGCGCCCTCTTCTGGCCTGCAGGGATACATGTATGTAGAACCCTGTATATAATAAATAAATAAATCTTAAAAAAACTTATTTTAAGAACAAAGGCCTGGAGGGGGGCGACAGCACCCTCAGCAGAATTGAGCTTGCTCAGCTCGGTCCAAGTGACCGTCAGCCTGTCCATCCTCAAGAGAGAGAGACTCTCAGACCTCTTAACGGTCTCCCAACTAGACATGGTCTGTGTGGATCTTGTGGGGCAGCTCACGTCTCGGGCTAGCTTGGCCCCTTTCCTTATCCATAGCTTTGTCAGGAGGATTACCCAGAATGCTCCAGGAGGAGAGAAGCACATCCGTCCAAGCCTTAAACAACTGCTTCAGCGGCTCAATAGAATTCAAGTCCCCTGGGTCTCGAAGCCGTGTGCCATTCTTGGCTCAGACATTCTAGAGCATTCTAGAATGCCCTATAGGAGATGGCTGCTGGCAGTCTTCCAAAATAACTCAAAACGCTTAGTTCAGGAGCCGCGCCTCCTTTCCCCTGTAGGTGGTGTGTCTTACAGCGGCTTTGAGGCTGACTGGTGACAGGCCGGAGTAATCCCCGCACACAGGACGCTGTAAGGGAGGGTCTGCCGTTACCATAGAAACAGAAGCAGCACTGTGTGGAGAACCAGAGAGTCAGCACGGTGGCGTCCAGAGAGGAGAGGTGTCTCTCTCCCCTCAGACCCGGAAAGCAGCTGCGGTTAAAGTGGGAACGAGGGGGCCGGGGCATGGGCAGCAGTTCAGAGAGTTCATCGCTTCTACAGAGGACCTGGGTTCAGTTCCCAGCTCTCTGACCTCTGCCGGCACCGGGGGCACACACGTGGTGGACATACATAAATGCATGCAGGCAAACACGCACGTGATGGGGTGGGGGGTGTCGGGTGATCTGTGTCATATGTCAAAGAAGGAGAGTCACCCCAGAATGGGATTTGGGGCTCTCTGGCAGCATGGAGAAACCATTTCTGTGAACTGAACCTCAAACCTAGGTTCCGATGCATATTTATTGATTGATACACAGTGTGGTACTTGGGGTACAGCGAGTTCCTCGTACCAAAGCCCCTTTGATCTGTCGTGTGTGTCCTCTGAAGGAAACCATCACACCCCACAACTTTAGTCCTCATTGTGCACTGTTTGCAGTATCCGATAAGTCAAGGTGCTCTGTGTCCAAAGGCATGCAGCAGAAAGACTGCCTGATCCAGGCCGTGGGACCTGGCCCATGTTCTAAAGAGTCCAGTTCAAGGCCAGCCTGAGCTACATATCAAGACCCCATCTGAAAAGAGAGAGAGAGAGAAAAAAAAAGGATGCTGGGCATTGGTGTCGCACGCCATTAATCCCAGCACTCAGGAGGCAGAGGCAGGCGGGTCTCTGTGAGTTCACGATCAGCCTGGGCTACAGAGTGAGTGCCAGGACAGGTTACAAAGTTACACAGAGAAACACTGTCTCAAAAAAACAGAGGTGGGAGGGACGAAAAGATGTCTCTTCTCTCTGGTAGCAGCTATAAAACTTTTGTAATGAAAGGAGTCTTAGGCACTGAATACCCGGGAACAAGGTGTATATTTCTCACACAAAGAACTTTAAGGTAATGTAAAAGATGTGTGTAAAGAGACCCATGGAGACCAGGAGAGACACCCAGGAGGTCCCCAGGAGGGAAGGATGTGTCCCCTACACAGGGCAGGGTCATAAGGAGCCACCGACTTTTGTCAAGCTGGCAGCGGCGTTGCTTTAGTCTGTATGGACTGTTTAAAAAGCACTGGGCAAAGATTCACATCTTGATGACAGAGGCTTGTGAATCGCTGACTCACAACTATGAAGTTGGTGTCCATACTCAGGACTCTCTCGAAAATAAGACGCTGGGCCCTGGCGACTACACAAGAATTTAGCAGCTGAAGTAGAAGCTTCTGCTCCATGAATTCAGCGGTAGCTGAGGTCAGGCGCCAAGTACAAGCTGTGGAGGAGAAAAGTCAGTGCACATTATGCAGGCGAGATGAACACGCATTGAAGAGGCCACCCTTTGCACCAGACTGCAGAAAAATCACCCACCATGATCAAGTAGGCTTCATCCCAGAGATGCAGCGATGGTTCAACATACAAAAATCCATCAGTGTAATCCACCATATAAACAAACCGAAACAGAAAAACCACATGGTCATCTCACTAGATGCTGGAAAAGCCTTCGACAAAACCCAGCACCTCTTCATGACAAAGGTCTTGGAGAGGTCAGGGATAATAGGAACACACCTAAACATAATAAAAGTAATATACAGCAAACCAACAGGCAACATCAAACTAAGTGGAGAGAAACTCAATGTGATTCCTCTAGAATCAGGAACGAGACAAGGCTGTCCACTCTCTCCATAGCTCTTCAATATTGTACCTGCAGTTCTAGCTAGAGCAATAAGACAACAAAAGGAGATCAAGGGGATACAAATTGGAAAGGAAGAAATCACACTTTCACTATTTGTAGATGACATGATAGTTTACAAAAGTGACCCCAAAAAAATCTACCAGGGAACTCCTACAGCTGATAAACACCTTCAGCAAAGTAGCTGATGGAAGCAGAAGCAGACACCCACAGCTAAACACTGAACTGAACTCCTGGAATCCAGTTGCAGAGAGGGAGGAGGGATGGTCAAAGGGGTCAAGACCAGGCTGGGGAAACCCACAGAAACAGCTGACCTGAGCAAGTGGGAGCTCATGGACCCCAGCCAGACAGCTGGAGAACCAGGCTAAGACCAACCAAGCCTCCTGAATGTGGGTGTCAATTAGGAGGCCTGGGCAGTCTATGGAGTCCCTGGTAATGGAACCAGTATTTATTTATTCCTAGTGCACGAATGGACTTTCGGAGCCCATTTCCCATGAAGGGATACTCTCTCAGCCTAGATACACAGAGGAGGGCCTAGGCCCTCCCCCCAAATGATATGACAGACTCTGAAGATTCCCCTATGGAAGGCTTCACCCTCTCTGGGGAGTGGATAGGGGGTGGGATAGGGGGTCAGTGGGGGACATGGGAGGATGGGAGGGAAAGGGAACTGGGGTTGATATGTAAAATAAGATCGTCTCTAAATTGAATTATAAATAAACAAATAAAAATAGTAGAATTGTTAAAAAAAAATACTGTGGTGCTGGTTAGGGTTTTGGCCAACTTGACATAGACCATGGTCATCTGGGACCCTCCATCAGATTAGCCTGTGGGTAGGACTATGGGGCGTTTTATTGACCGATGGTTGATGGGGGGCAGCCTGGAGGCGGTGCCACTCTGGGCAGGTGGTGGTGGGTTGTGTAAGAAGACTGAGTGAGCCATGGGGAGCAAGCCAGTGAGCAGCGCCCCTGCATGGCTCCTGCCTCGGCTTCCCTTGATGGTGGACTATACCCCGTAAGTCAAGCCCTTTCTTCCCCCAAGTTGTTGTTGACCAGTGTGTTATCACAGCAACAGGAACCAAACTAAGTCAGAAATTGATAGCTGGTCACAGGGCATCATGGTGACAGGCCTGGCCGTCTTGTTTTGGGGAGCATGTTGGGAGCGTGGAGGACTTTGGGCTGCTGAGTGTTCAACGCTGCTTTGTGGGAGCTTGGAAGGTAAGAGTGTTGAGGGAAATGGGGGCATCGGCCGCCCGGCCTGTGGAGTTTCAGAGGGAAGCAAAGCCTCCGCAGGAGTTTCAGAGGGAAGCAAAGCCTCCCCAGGGCCACTTGTAGGTCGGTTTGAATAATCCGTGGTTTCTGGTCCGCTGGCGCTGAGGGGGTCAGCTGGAACTAATAAGAGACCAGAACCACTGAGGAGAACTCTTCTGGGAACTGTTTCCTCAGGGTCAGCACACAGACCCGGGGTTCAGAGAGGGCCAAGGCTGCATCTCAAACTGGAAGTGAACTTGGGCACGGCGTAAGAGTCCCCTGTGTGGTACGTGACTTGGTGGCGTGAAAGGTCGTGGAGATTAGCTGAGGCTCCACACTGTGTGAGGCCAGGAGCAGTAATTGGTGATGGCGGAGACTCCTGGGTATGAAGGGGCCAAGGAGAGAAGCTGAGGAGGCACCAGGTGGCAGGGTGGGTCCCCGAAGATGTCACGAGAGGCCACTGGTGTAGTGCATAGCTGTCGTGTCGTGGATATTCCAGCCTTTTGGACGTTCCGGGACTGTGGGACAACCACCAGAAACAGGGCAGGCGTGGCGCGAGCCAGCCTGTAAGACCAGCTCTGCGTGCCGTGGATGGCAGGGCCAGCAGATCTGAGGCGTGGCGGGAGCTCATTTCAGGGTCCTCGATGGGCGCGTATAGCCACGTCCAAACAAGGTGCACTGTCCAGCCGTTCGCAGTGATGCTGATTGCACACGTGAAGGCTTCACCCTCGAGGCCTACTGGCCTCTCGCTGCCGTCTCGGGATTAGATTGCAGCGTATGACTTTGGATAGCACGCGGCAAGCCGCCCACAGCTGTTTTCAATAAAGGAGCGTCCCGTGGAGACTCGCGATATCTGCGTTGCTGGATGTTGGGCTTTTGCTTTGATCTGATCTAGCTGTGCTCCGCCTCCTTCTGGAACTAGCGAAGCAGGTAACTTGTTTCTTATTTTACAGGAGTCCACAGCTAGGAGACTTTGGACTTTTAAAGAGATGCTGGGCATTTGAAATAGACTGAACTTTTGAGCTGTATTTGTCAAAGCCTTGTGGGACTTTTAAAAGTCATACCGTGTTTTATATTGCGTTAGTAACAAGATAGCAGGGATAAAAACAGAGCAGGCTGGCCTCAAACCTAAAGAGATCCGCCTGCCTCTGTCTCCTGAGTGCTGGGATTCAAGGCGTGCGCCGCCACTCCTGGCCAGGTTATAGCTTGATAGTACGCTAGTGTGTCACACCAAGGGGTCAATTGTACCGGTTAGTTTTTGATACAAGTTAGGGTCACCTGGGAAGAGGTGAGGACATGCCTCCTTCAGACTGGCCTATAAGCAAGTCTGTGGGGCCATTTTCTTGATGAATGATTGGTGGGGGAGGGCACCGCCCACTGTGGGCGGTACCCTCCCTAGGCAGGTGGTCCTCAGCGGGGTAAGAAAGTAGACTGAACAGCCATGTGGAGAAGCTGGTTAGCTGATGGCCAGTTTGATTCTTACACCAGAGGATTCCACCCCGCCCCCCGACTCCTATGAAAGACAAGCCTGTGGCATCACTGAGTCACCTGTTCCCTTGGCTGTCCTCCTTGCGCTCAACCCTAACAGCTCTCAGGGGTGTCGGTGATCTCTAGGGCTTCCAATGACTGCCGCCCCAGCCGAGGCTACTTTCTAATCCCCAGAGAAAGCCTTGCCCAGCTCGCTCATCCGTCCTCACCCTGGGCTCGAACACTGTCCGTCCGTCCGTGTCCGTCCCCTCCCCCCCCCCCCCCCGGCATCAGCGTCTGGTGATGACTCTCTTGAATCCATTTTCCTTACAGTCGAGGAGGTGATTCTAAACCGTAAATCCCATCAGATCCCTCCCGGGGCTTCCCAGAGTCCACAGCTGAAGATCGCAGCTGCTTTCTTCGGTGTAGACAAGGTAGACACCTGGTCCCCACTCACAAGCTGTCTCCCCAATCTCACCCTCCTGGCCTGGCCGGGGCTGCTCTGTGACCTCCGACCGCAGCACACTTCCCGACTCTGCAGCCCCAGAAGCCCCTCAGATTGCTAGCCTGAGGTCCCTCTTCCCTCAAGGTGCAGGCACCAGGCAGAACGCCTCCCGTCAGCATCAGGCTGCCCGGGGCTGCCTCTCTGTCTAGTCCCAGCACCCAGTAGGGCCTCAGGAATATTGTGTGCTACGAGGGTTCCTCCCAGAGAGTTTGTGCCCTGGTGTGGCTCGGGTTCCCCTGACTCAGAGTTCCCAGTTGGGAAAGAAAGTGTCTTGGTGGTGACTCTGAATCTTACGGGCGGGTAGCCCCGACCCAGGGAGAATCATCCGGTTCACATCAGCTCTTTCTGTGAACTTGGCAGAATCAGCATTTTTTTATGTAGCTAATAAGTAAGTTAATGGTGGAAAAAGAGTCTAAAACGTGAAGTCAGTTTTTGAGCGGAGAGAGCCGAGAAGAGGGTCTCATTTTGTGGTCCAGGCTGGCCTCCAACTCATGGGCCTCCTGCCTTGTCCCCTGCCCCAAATTCTGGGATCGTAGGCATGCACCATGCTCAGCTGCACATTCAAAATCTTTAACATAACTCGGGACCCACAAGTTTCCGTTATTTAGCAAGAATGGCATATTGCTTCATGATTCTTCTTAATGGGCTGATGTTGTAAGTGGCGTGGCATAGACCCATGTGTTCCCCCAGTCTCTGTTTATATTGAAACAATGGGCCCCAATAAACTGCAATTCCCTCTAGGAATCTCATCCTAGAGATGAGGTAAAGGCTGAAGCCTGGTGCCAGCCAGAGGGGCAGTTGCCTCCCAGAAAGAGATTTCAGAATGCTGCCATTTTCCACCTTGCTGGAGAGACTGGAGCCCAGACAACCGAGTGCCAGCAGCGGGCAGGCCCACACATTAGCAACAGGAGACTGCTTGGCTGTGCATGTCCCTGGCTCCTGTGTGTGGCCCCTGTGTGTATTTTAACCTCACTATAGGACCCCTCCCCCCACTGTAGATTGCCTTTTTCTGCCTCTTGTTTTGTTTTTTGAAGACAGCCTCTCTGTGCAGCCCAGGCTGGTCTTGAACTCATAGAGATGGCCTGCTTCTGCCTTCTGAGTGCTGGGATTAGGTGTGTGCCCCCCAGCCTGATGTGATTTTTTTTCTTTTAACATTGAATTTGGCTGCTTTAATTGGCTTTTCAAGGACAGATGGTCACTTGGCCTCTCAGGGTACGGAGTGTGACCTCAGATTTGAGAATGCTGCAGCAATGATAACACAAAGTTTTTAAACGTATGTTGTCTTGAGCCGGAGATACGGCTTAGTCACCCACAGGTACAAGCATGAGGACTGAGTTTGATTCCCCCGTGTCTGGGTATAAGCACACACCTGAAATCCCAGTACTAGGAAGGTAGAGATGGGTGCGGGGGTTGGGGATGGGAGTTGAGTGTCCCTAAGGCTTGATGGTCAGCCAGACTAGCCAGTCAGTGAGCTCCAGGTTCAGGGAGAGACTCTGTCTCAGAAATAAGGTGACTAAGCCATCGAGAAATACACGTGACACCAAATTGGCACAGGTATGCACATATACACCCCAAACACAAAGTTAGCCTCTTTAGCCTCTTAGTTTTCTTTAAAGACAATCTTGGCTTTTATATAGTCTTTCTTTTTAAAGCACTGATAATGATCACTGTTCTAACCCCAGCACATGCAGAACACATGGGGGCCTCGCTGGCCGTGGTCTGTGGTACATCCTACCCACAGTGGAAACACCGGGTTGGCACAAGCGAAGACACCCACTTGAGTGGCCAGGCAATCCCTGAGACCTGAAGTTTCCACCAGAGTGACGTCTTCCACTAAGAACAAAATCAAAATCAGTTTCAGAAATAATGTGGGCTTGTTTCCGAAGAAGCCGAAAGCTTAAATAATTTCATTTATTTGGGTTGTTGAAATGTATGTTTTTTCTGTTAAAACAAATGATTGGATTTCCTAAACTACCTTCTAAAGGGAACCATTTTCTCCCGTCTCCAGGTTCCTTTTTTTTTTCTTCTTTGTTATCTCCTGAGTGACTCATATCCCAAGTTCCTGTGCTTTCCATTTACTTATATGCGATGCCGAAATATACTATGACAAGAGTGTCATGAGGTCTAGAAAGTAAACAGTCTGCTGTGGTTTGAATCTGGAATGTTCCATATAGACACATGTTCTGAGCACTTGGTCCCTGGTAGTGCTGTTCCCATAGATTAGGGAACTTGGGGAGCTGGGACGTAGCTGGGGGAGGCAGGCCAGTCAGGAAGGGCCTTTGAAGGTTACACCAGCCTCCGCTGATGGTCTAGCTTCCTGTCTGCCAGTAAGTGAGACACCATAAAACATACTCCTGCCATTGCCAAGGACAGATCACTCACGCTGCAATGCCTTCCCTACCACGATAGCCTGGGGTCCTCCGAGACACAGAAGCAAAGCAAACCTTCCCTTCGCTCGGTGTCTTTGAGGTGCTCTGTCACAGGGATGAGAACGGTAGCTAACACAGCCTCCATCGGGCAAGCATATGTGGTGTGTTCCCTTCTGTGTTCCTAGTTGGGAACACACGAGAGTCTAGCTCAGTTACCCAGACGCACCACACTGGGCAAGTCAGAGGGCCCCACTGAATGTGAAGGGTGGTACACACAGACCAGGACACCAAGGGCCCAAAGGCAAGAGATGTCATTTTAGAATTGACAGGGTTCCCAAGTAGGTGATTTATCTGTTGTCCCAGCTACTCAGAAAGCTAAGGCAAAAAGATCCTTGATCCTGGCAGTCCCAGCCAAGCAACAAACTTGACACAAAACAAATTCGTTAGGAAAAATAAGAACTGCCCGGTGGTGGTACACACCTTTAATCCCAGCACTCATGAGGCAGAGGCAGGTTGGTCTCTGTGAGTCTGAGGCCAGCCTGGTCTACAAAGTGAGTTCCAGGATACCCAGGGCTACAAGGATATGTAGCCTATCTCAAAAATAAAAATAAAATGAATAAGAACCAGAAACAGTGGCACTCGCTTGTAATCCCAGCACTTGGGAAGCTGAGGCAGAAGGATCAGGAATTCACCATCATGCTTTACTTCTTACCAAGTTTAAGGTTAGCCTGGGCTATGTGACCTCCTATTTCCTAAATGCCCCCCCAAAAAGAAACAGAGTACAAAGATGAAAAAGAAAAAATTCTCTGTACAAACCAGGAATGGGAGAGAACTTTGTTAGCCTCGGCAAGGAATCTTACATTTTCTCTGTAAGAGAAGGAAAGGCTATCATATTGAATTAATTCCTAGCATTTCAGTCAAGAGTGAGAGACAATGGACTAGAAAAGGAAGAGACTACTGTCATTGTAAACAAATTGACCGCCAATGGGGAAAAGAATGTGTCTACACATTAGAAATGACTAATACAAGAAAGACTGTCCAAGAGACAGCTGAATGAGCCAAGCACAGCTCTCGCTCCAGCAACAAAGCAAACCATTCAGAAGGGACAACAAAGCAAAAGTCTGAGAAATTCTCTAAATTTCCAAAATGCTAACGGGGGCTGGTGAAGTCTCAGTGGTTAGGAGTTCCTGCTGCGTGCTGGTCCTGCAGCCATTCTGGATTTGAGTCGTCACAGCCACCTGCAATTCCACCCCCAAGGGATCTGGTGCGGCCTCCAGGCCTCCGAGAGCACATACGCACACAAGCACGCACCTGCACACAGACATAGACGTGTACATCTTACACATAGTAGATGTTACAATAAATATTAATTCCAGTAAAACTGTGAGACGAGTAAGCAGAGGATCCTGCTCGCCCTGAGGACATTGGACAGCGCAGTAGGCACTTTCAAGAGTGCTGATCTTGCCGGGCGATGGTGGCGCACCCCTTTAATCCCAGCACTCGGGAGACACATTCCAAGACTAGCATCTACAAACAGTTAGCCCAGCTCTCCCTACCAGTCATTCTCACTCACCGGGACCTGAGGGGGCACTGTCGACTGGGGGCTCTGCAGAGAGTTAGTGACTGGTGCAACAAGAGACCTGTGATTGGTGCCTATGTAAGGCCTCTGATTGGTGGAACTGAAAGCTGTGCAGTGATTGGTGCAGATTACAATGCTTTATTTGCATGCTACACCTCTGCCAAGTCTTTCTTTTAGCTTTTATAGCCAGGCTGTTGGGCTCGTCTTTTATTTAGTTTTCATATTTATTACACTTGTTTATTTATCTCTGTGTGTGCGTGCACATTCAGGCATATGTTTGAAGTTGGGTCATATATGGTTGTCAGTTTTCTTTCATGTTGTTGGGTTTGGTGACAAGGACATTTACCTGCTGAGTCATCTTACCAGCACTGTCTGAGTATTTCATTGTGGCAACAGGAAAAGAAACTAAGATAACTAACAATGATTTTTGAAGTGTTTTTCAAGACTGGGTTTCTCAAGGTGGCTTTCCTGGAACTCACCCTGTAGGCCAGGCTGGCCTTGAGCTCACAGAGATTTGCCTACCTCTGCCTCCCGAGTGCTGGGATTAAAGGTGTGTGCCACCATCGCCCCGCTTTGACTTTGGCTAGTGTTTATTGTCTAAACTATATAAGGATTTTTTTTTACAAATTTATAAGAAAAGGGCAAGTTATTTTTAACTTTTTTAAAAGATTTATTTATTTACTACATATACAGTGTTCTGCGTACATGCCGGAAGAGGGCACCAGACTGAATTGTAGATGGTTGTAAGCCACCATGTGTTTGCTGGGAACTGAACTCAGGACCTCTGGAAGAGCAGTCAGTGCTCTTAACCGCTGAGCCATCTCTCCAGCCCCAGGGCAAGTTATTTTCAATGGGGGAAAATAGCAAATCTTTCATTTATTTTAGAAGAAACACAAAGGACAGAGAGATGGCTCTGTGTTAAGAACATTGGCTGCTCTTGCAGAGGACAGGGGTTCTGTTCCCGGCATCCTTGTGGGGCAGCTCACAACCTCCTGTAACTCTAGTTCTGGGGGGGGGGGGGGGATCAGTGGCCTTTGTGGGCATGACATGCAGGTGATGCACATAAACACAGGCACACAAATAAATAAGAATACGCAGATCTTTTTATTTATTTTTAATTTTATATATTTGATTTTTTTTTTTGAGACAGGGTCTCTCTGTGTAGCCCTGGCTGTCCTGGAACACTCTATGTAGACCAGGCTGGCCTCGAATTCACAGAAAACCACCTGCCTCTGCCTCTGCCTCTGCCTCACAAGTGCCAGGGTTAAAGGCGTGCATTCATACGCACAGCTAAACCTTTCTTTTTAAAGGGATCAAACAGTGTATGACTATCAGTCATAAGGGACACTTAATCAGTCAAGAAAGAAAGGCGGAACGCCACCGCAGGAAATGCCATTTGCCCCACCAAACTGACAAGGGAATCTGATAACAGCAGAGGGCATGGAGGATGGCAGTCCCGCCAAAGCAGCTGGATGGGCAACAGCATGAAGGAGACCAACACTCAGAAGAGCATGTGCCACCATGCCCGCCTAATTACTTACTGCCTGGCTGCAAAGGTTAGCATCTAACTAACCAGTCACACGTGGTCTGAAGTGACAAGTCCCCCTCTGCCAGAGATAAACAACACTCCCAGTAGAACCTGCTCCCTCCTCCCAGGTCCCAGAGACAGCTCACAGGGGTTGTTGTTTACCGTGTTCACGGTGTAGCGTTCCCCCGCCCCCCAAAAGCTCCTCAGCCACCAGCCGGGGCGAGCCAAGCAGTCAATGCAAGGGCTTGTAGCGGACACAGCCGCGGACCTGAAACCACGAGATGCTCAGCCAGTTAAGTGCTCGCTGCGCAAGCATAAGGGCCTGAGTTCAGTCCCCAGAACGCGCACGCACATGAAAAAGCCCAGTGTGGTACCCGCGCTTGTAATCCCAGCCCTGAGGACGATGGAGCCATCAGAGGAGCAGCCGTCGAGGGTGACCTCGACACACACGTACACACACATACACGCTGAAAAAGAAATGTGCCTCCGTTTCGCTGGGCTCCATTGGGATGGGGGTGTCCTTTGTTGTTTCTGCACAGCCTGGCCCATCCTGACTGACCGAGGCACCTGCTCTAAGACCCAGCAGGTCTACTCCCAGGCTGTCTCCCTAGTGACTCTCGGAAGGGCCTGAATGCCGCTCCGGAGAGGACAGACTCACGAATGACGGCCTCTGCAGAAGGGCACCCTGGGTGCTGTACACAGCGACAGGGGTTATGAGTCCAGTTCTGACAACCACGGCTGCCTCCCACAGCACGGTAGTGGAGAGCTCAAAACGGAGGGGGGGCGCTCAAATTTTGCAAGAGCCCAATTTTTATATTTTTTGGGTGGTTTTTAAAAACTGAAAGGATAGCTGGGCATGGTGGTGCCCAGTTTGAATCCCAGCACGCTGGAGGCAGGGGCAGGAGGATCTCTGTGAGTTCGAGGCCAGCCTGGTCTGCAGAGGGATTTCCAGGACAGCCACGGCTGCACAGGGAGATCTTGTCTCACGAAATAAGTGAAATTTAAAACCTGACCGTGGCAGGGGGTGGGGGAGGCCTCGATCCAGTGAGGTCACAGGTGTCCCCCTCCGCACAGTGATGTGTGCCTTCCTACAGGGCCTGTTTTCTGATGCGCCTGACACAGAGGGACAGGCAGAAGTGTGGGGAGGGAGAGGACAGATGTTTGAACTCCTCTGAAGATCCCCTGGAACTCTGACAGGCCTTTTCCACGTGGGGGCGCAGTGGAGGAAGGTGTTGTAGTAAGTGAGAAGCCAGGGGAATTCGGCTGGGGAAACACACAGCATGGTACAGTTTATTGTCATGTATCCTATTTACATATTTACATATACTACACACACATACACACACACACACACCTACATTGATTTTACAATGATCTTAGCTGGACCATTGGTCCACGTGATCCAATTGAAGCTGCCTTTTTCTTCAGATTAAGTTTTATATATATATGTGTGTGTGTGTACATATATGTACATAAATGGGTTCTTTTTTGTGGGGGTGTTTTTTTGTTGTTTGTTTTTCAAGACAGAGTTTCTCTGTGTAATAGTCATGGCTGTCCTGGAACTCACTCTGTAGACCAGGCTGGTCTCAAACTCACTGAGATCCACCTTCCCCGCCTCCCGAGTGCTGGGACTAAAGGCGTGCGCCTCTACACCCAGCATTATGTATGTCTTGTTAAGGCGAATCTAGAAATTGGGCTCTCACCCCTTGCTCTTCCCTCCTCCTATTAAAAACGTCAAGGGTCGGGCTGGAGAGATGGCTCAGTGGTTAAGAGCACTGGCTGCCCTTGCTAAGGACCCAGGTTTAGTTCCCAGCACCCACGTGGTGGTTCACAGCCATCCGTAACTCCCTCTCTTCTGGCCTCTGCTGGCATCAGCAATCACATGGTGTGTGTGTGTGTGTGTGTGTGTGTGTGTGTGTGTGTGTGTGTGTGTACGCGCGGACAAAACACTCTTACAAAGTTGTTTAAAAATAAAAATAATTTTAAAATAGTGAGGACAAATACATTAGCATTAGAAGGGGTTTGGGCGGGGTGCTTGTCTACACATTGTCTAGGATGTTTGAGAACAGCACAGCGGGGTCCTTGTGCTGCTCCTCACTGCTCCTGAGGGACCCCCCACATCTCCTGCGCTGCCACATCACAGCTCATAGCCTCCTCCTTCTTCTTCCTCTGGAAATCGGCAGCTGCAGGCATCTTCCTCTTGAGCCGTCTTAAATGCTAGGAAACAAGGAAGATCTCATGTAAGGGAGCCGGCTGAGTTGCAGGTGCTAGGTTTCTGGGTGAAGCCAATGTTAGGGTGAGAATTCCAAAGCGGCCACCGTCAAAGTGCCCAGCAAGCAAGTAGGGATACATCAGAGACAAACGAAGACTCAGGGCTGGGGAGCCACGGGCAGTGGCGCGCACGCAGAGAGCCCCAGCTACTTGGGAGACAGAGGCGGGAGCGTTGTTGAGGACAGGTGTTCAAAACTGGAGGCTGCTCTGGGGGACATAGTGAGACCCAGAGAGAGCATTGAAAGGAACCCAGGAGCTATTTTTAAACTGGGAGGTGACGCTAATTGAAATTTTGAAAGACCGATGAATGTTTCACAATAGAATGAGGAAGGTTGTTGGGGGGGCGGCGATGTCATTATCCAGTCCAGGGAGGGATAAATGCGTGAAATGGATGGAGCCTTAAGGACAGGTGGGGCTCTGACAAGAGGTCCAAATTCACGTCACTGGAGCCTGGAGGGCAGGAGAAGGGATTCGGGGCTCAGTGCTTTGAAGCACATTTGGAGAGAGGGTGACTGATCCACCACCACCTCCATCAGTAAAGAGGCAAGGCCTACACGTTCTAGAAGCTGACTGAACCTCAAACCGGGTGAGTCCAGGAATCCACGTCACAGTCAAAACTCTAAAGCACAGGACTCTTGAGAGGCCCTGCTGGGATAACTGCAGGTCTCTTGCCAGAAATCGTGGAGGCCAGCGGGAAATGTCTCCCACCCTGCAGAAGGGGAAACCCTGTCCCTACTTGTAGGTGACATTGTGGCCTAAGCAGGACATCCCATGGAATCCGCAGAATGCTCTTAGAGCAAGTGAGTGCGTGCGTCAGAGACACGGGGCGCAAACCAGTTTCCCAAGTATCTCATGAACACGTGATTTAAGACACCGTATCACGTCCAATGGTTGAAAGAAAAAAGAGGGAGGCTGGGGTGCCAGGCGGTGGTGGCTCACGCCTTTAGTCCCAGCAGATCTCAGAGTTCGAGGCCAGCCTGGTCTACAGAGTGAGTTCCAGGACAGCCAGGGCTACACAGAGAAGCCCTGTCTTGAAAAACAAAAACAAAACATGCACAGAAAAGGAAAAAGAACTGGGCCCTGATCGCCGGCTCAGCGGCTAAGAAAGCTTGCTGCAGGCTGGGCGGTGGTGGCGCATGCCTTTAATCCCAGCACTCGGGAGGCAGAGGCAGGCGGATCTCTGTGAGTTCGAGGCCGTGCTGGACCAATAGCCTCCAAAACAATACAGAGAAACCCTGTCTCGTAAACAGAGAGAGAGAGAGAGAGAGAGAGAGAGAGACGAGAGAGAGAGAGAGAGAGAGAGAGAGAGAGAGAGAGAGAGAGAGAGAGAGAGAGAGAGAGAGAGAGAGAGAGAGAGAGAGAGAGAGAGAGAGAGAGAGAGAGAGAGAGAGAGAGAGAGAGAGAGAGAGAGAGAGAGAGAGAGAGAGAGAGAGAGAGAGAGAGAGAGAGAGAGAGAGAGAGAGAGAGAGAGAGAGAGAGAGAGAGAGAGAGAGAGAGAGAGAGAGAGAGAGAGAGAGAGAGAGAGAGAGAGAGAGAGAGAGAGAGAGAGAGAGAGAGAGAGAGAGAGAGAGAGAGAGAGAGAGAGAGAGAGAGAGAGAGAGAGAGAGAGAGAGAGAGAGAGAGAGAGAGAGAGAGAGAGAGAGAGAGAGAGAGAGAGAGAGAGAGAGAGAGAGAGAGAGAGAGAGAGAGAGAGAGAGAGAGAGAGAGAGAGAGAGAGAGAGAGAGAGAGAGAGAGAGAGAGAGAGAGAGAGAGAGAGAGAGAGAGAGAGAGAGAGAGAGAGAGAGAGAGAGAGAGAGAGAGAGAGAGAGAGAGAGAGAGAGAGAGAGAGAGAGAGAGAGATTGATTGCTGCTCTTACAGAGGGAGGATCCAAGTTCACTTCCCAGCATCCAGGTCAGGGAGCTCACAACAACTTATAACTCCAGCTTCAGGGAGCAGGGTCTGTCATCCTTATCTGCCCTTTGAGATATGCAATGCACACACACAGCACTTACATTGGCATATATACATAAAAAAGAAAAATCTGATTTAAGAAAAATTTGCTTTTTGTTTTTGCTTTGTTTTGTTTTGAGACAGGGTTTTTCGATGTAGTTCTGGCTGTCCTGGAAATTGCTCTATGAACCAGGCTGGCCTCGAACTCAAAGAGATCCACCTGCCTCTGCTTCCCGAGTGCTGGGATTAAATGCGCACACCACCAATGCCTGACAAGGAAAGACTGAGGAGGCAAGACAGCTCAGTGGTTAAAGCGCTGGCCACCCACTGGTGAGCCCTGGAGTTTGGCTCCCTAGGATCCCCCAAAATGGCCAAGTAAGTGTGGCAGCCTGGCTGTAATCCCAGCCTCGGGAGGCAGAGAGATGAGACCAGATCCCCAGAGCAAGCTGCCTAGCCAGGCTAGCCATCGTGTGAGTTTTGAGTTTGACTAACAGACCCTGCCTCAATGAATAAGATGGAAAGCCAACCAAAGATTATTCCAAACACCAACATAGGGCCTCCACATCCACATTGTCACACACAGGTACGCCCACATGTATGCAAAAACATACAAACATATGTACCACACAGACACACACACACAGACACGCGCACACACAAAAGTGGGGGATGTGGGAGGTGGAGTTGAATACCCGGGCATAAATCTAAAAAAAAATGCATACAGGACTCACTTTATGAATTACCAAAGAGTGACAAAATGAGAGGAAGTATAAATGGAAAGTCACTATGTTCTCGTTGGAATCGCTAATCAAAATTTCCCGCCAAGCTCACATAGATTTCTTGCAACTTACATGGAAGTGTTAGAATAAAGAGCTAAAGCAACCGTGGGGGAGGAAGACGGAGAGGGAGGGTGTGTCCCTGCTCTCCACGCAGCTCTCAGACTGACTTTATAGTCCCTGCTCTCCATGCAGCTCTCAGACTGATTTTATAGCCACAGTTACCAAGCCTTGGCAGTGCTGGGATAGACACGCTGCTGTTGCTGTAACACGAGGGGGGCGGCCTCTGCTCCCCCACAAGCACAGCCAGTGGTTGGGGTAGACAGAGGGGTGAAGATACTCTTTTCTTTGAGTGACATTGGAACAGCTGGGCACACACAGCCCCCTACCCACCTGAAGGAAAAAAAAAAAAGAAATCTTGACCTTAATTTCTGACACTTTATATCTCACTGACACAGCTTTAAATGTCAAATTCAAAAGTGTAAAACGTTTTCAGACGCTAGCATTGGGGGAAAGGCTCAACCTTTCAGACCAAGGCTGTAGTGAAGGGTTCTTGGATGTGGGCTGCTCAGGAAGTAGAAGCATTTGCCACACACACTTGACAGCTTGAGTTTGACCCCTGCGACCCACGTGGTAGAAAGGAAAGCACCTACCTTCACGGGGACTCCTCTGAAGTACACACAAGGACTTGCATGTGACCACACACACACACACACACACACGCGCGCGCGCGCGCGCGCACGCACGCACGCACGCACGCACGGAGGCAGGAGGAGGGAGGGAGAGAGAGAGAAATGTAGAAAACACTTTTAAACCAAATGCAAAGGCAAGCACTGGAATGCTGCATTCTATAGCAAGATGGGTGAAGGATGGAGAGGGGGGGATGGGGAAGCTTGAGGGCCAGCTAGTCTGCACAGCTTGGCAGAAACAAAGAGTGTGGTGATAGATTATTTATGATTTACTAAAGCTAGCCCGCGGATCCAGAAAGCAAAGCCAGCCCCAAGCTATAGAGGTCAGGTGGTGGCGGCACACACCTTTCATCCCAGGACTCGGGAGAAAGGCAGATGGAGCTCTGAGTCCAAGAGCAGAGTGAATCGGAGCTCACACCTTTAATCCCAGGATTTGAGAGGTATAAGAAGCAGAGGCATTCAGTCTGAGATTATAGCCACGTTGAGGAGAGCCTAGCGGTCTGAGAGAATCTGAGGAGCAGTGAAGTCAGGGGCAGTCTGAGGATCACCCCTTTGGTCTGAGCTGAGGTAGAGGTGACAGCTGGTGGCCGGCTGCTTTGCTTCTCTGATCTTCAGCTTGAAGCTTGAACCCCAGTATCTGTCTCTGGGTTATTTTATTTTATTTTATTTTGTGTGTGTGTTACACAAGGAGAGAACTAACTTCTGTAGATTGTTTCTGACCTCAACATGCTCACAGTGGCATGTGCACACACACAAAATAAAATAAATTTAAAAATTAAAATATAACTCTACGATTGCATTTCTCTTAAGAGACACAAGAACTTATGTTCACGTGAAACCTACCCGTAAGTATCCATGGGTTTGTTCGTTTTTTGTTTTTAACATGTAAGAGGAAAAAAACCTGGACCAGAGAGGTGGCTCAGCACTTGTCGCTCTTGCAAAAAACCCAGGTTCAGTTCCCAGCACCCACGTGGTAACTCATAACTGCCTGTAAGTCCAGTTCCAGGGGGTCTGGCCTCCATGTGTTCCTACATGCATGTGATACACATAAAACTCATGTAAGCAAACACATGTAACATAAAATTATGAATACGTTAAAAAAAAAACAACCATGAGTCAAAAGTCAGAAATAGGTGAGTGGGAAGGACTGAGAAGGGGGCGAGCAGGGCTGAGAGGGCAGGGCTGACAGGGGCGAGCAGGGCTGGCTCAGAAGGGCGAGCAGGGCTGGCTCAGAAGGGCAAGCAGGGCTGAGAAGGGTGAGCAGGGCTGAGGGGGGTGAGCAGGGCTAAGAAAGGGGTGAGCAGGGCAGAGAGTAGGGCTGGCTCAGAAGGGCGAGCAGGGCTGAGAAGGGCGAGCAGGGCTGAGAAGGGCGAGCAGGGCAGAGAGTAGGGCTGGCTCAGAAGGGCGAGCAGGGCTGGACCCTGGTTGTGGACAGTTTGGGTTCTTTCTTGCCTGTTTTTCCGTCGAGTCATGTAACTATGGCCTTGAGCTTGAGAGCCTCCTGCTGGGGCTCCAGGCGAGCACCCCACGCCCCACCTGACAAGTTCTGTGTTTCCGTGCACGAATCCACAGATCTGATAGAGGGGCGTACAGCTAGTCTGTGTGTTCTGTGCGCCGCTGTCCTGGCCGCAGTGTGATGGCACTATTCTGCTCCCTGTTTGTGACTTTCTATGAATGAGCAACTCCCTAAAAAATGAAAAGGTTTTTCTTCTTCTTTTTTTAATGACTCCAAGCCACTCGTTGCTGATCAACACCTTTGAAAACAGCCTCACGGGAACCTTGCTGCCGCTCTGGGAGGAAGCTCAAAGGTCTCCTCCAGAGACAGAGGCCTGGGATGGAAGGGGAGAGGCCACAGAAAATGAGAGTCCCTTTCATTGATAAGGAGAGGGCAGAAGGCCCTGTGGGAAGACTTCTCAGAGTAAGAAATCCAAACAGCCAATCAAAGCGAAAAGCCATCTAACCTCAGACATCATCAAGGAACTGCAAATCAAAACCACAATGAGCCACTGCTCCCCACCCACCAGACAGATAAAAATAGCGCCGCTACAGCCGGCTTCACACGGAAGTGGGCCACATGGGGCTTCGCACCCCGCTGAAGAGGCGTTCAACGTGGTCCCCATTATGTCTGGAAAACAGTTTGCCCCACCTACTTGGACAGGGCTTAAGTTAACTTGTTCCCACATCTTTTTCCCTAGGTTAAAGAAACAAAAAGCAAAGCTTGGGAAATGGTTCTGTAACTAGTGCCCATTGCCGCGAGCCTGAGGTAACTGGTGTTCCTTGTCCTGAGCCTGAGCTAACTAGTAACTAGTGCTCATTGCCCTGAGAGCATGAGGAGCAGAGTTCAGATCCCCAGCACCACATAAAGGCCGGCAAGGTGGTAGTCACTGTGACCCTGGAAGGCAGAGACAGGATTCCTGGGGCAAGCTGTCTGGAGCATCTATGATGCTCTCTGGGTTCAACTGAGAGGACCAAGTGGAGGGGGATCTAGGAAGGTGCCTGACACCATATGTCTACATATGCACGTGTGCACGCCTACACAGACAAACATGCACATGTATGCACATACACACACCACACACAAAAACTCAGAGCAGACACATTCCATAACAAATGTAGAAGGCTGGGTTTGGAACACAGGGGACTGGAGCTCAATCTGTGGGTGAGTTCCCCCCCCTTCTCTCTGCCTCTCCCTTCCTTCTTCCCTCCTTCCCTCCTTTCTTTCTCATTTTAAGACAGGGTCTCGCTCTGTAGACCAGACTAGCCTCGAACTCACAAAGATCCCCCTGCCTCTGCCTCCCGAGCTCTGGGATTAAAGGTGCGTGCCACCACCGCCCAGCCTCCTCATAGAATCTTACTCAGTTTATTAATGGGTGAAACCATAGTCTGCCTTACCCCCATTTCAGCGCCATCCAGTTCTCCCCACTTCCTCAGTACAGACCAGAGCTGAGGCCAAGTGTGTTTACCAACTTTGGAAGCAACACTGGGTGGGGCGATGTTCTCTGTGGGGGTGTGTTTGTGTGTGTAGAGAAGTCAGGAGATTCCCCTCTGTTTGCTTGCTTGACTTTTTCTGTGAGACAGGGTCTCTCACTGGCCTAGAGTTTATCAACTAGGTGAGGCTGATTGGTTATCAAGCCCCTGGGATCTGCCTGTCACCATCTGTCATCACCGCCTGACCCCGCCTGCCTGTCACTGCATTGGGATTACAACAAGCACAGGCCACCACTTGTTTGCATGGATCTGGGTGTTAACACAGCCGTGTGCTTGCAAAACAAAAGTCTTCACAAGCTGGGCTGTCTCCCCCAGCTTCTGAGGTAATGATTTCCTCTGGTTCCTCTGTGCCGTGGGCACAGGCTGACTGGGGGTGCCCACACTTATAGGTGCACCACAGTTATCTGGGACTGGGGCATACGTGTCTGTTGTCACACACACGCGTGCGCATGCACGCACACACACACACACACACACACACACGCATACACACACACACAGGGCCCTGTTGTCTCCATCTCTTCCCTAGTGACATACAGAGCCCAATTCTTATGCCCAGGGGGGCTCTTCTTGTGCATTAGTGGGGGCAGGGAGCCTCCCCATCCCCTACTCCAAGTCACAGCTACCCAAACTGTCTTCAGACAATATCCTTGTGGGAACAAGCTTGTCCTGGCTTTGCAACCATTGGGTCAGCCAATTGTATGCCCATAACTTACAATAAAAAAAAAAAAAAAGAATCCAAGCCTGCAAGAGCTGGGTGGGTAAAGACCCCCACCACACAAGCCTGAGGACCCGAGTTTAGTCCCCAAAACGGGAGAGAACCCACTCCGAGACGTTGCTCTGACTCCCAGACGTGTCTGCCTCCCCCGCTTCCCACACCGTGTTGGCCTTACGTTGCTTGAACAGGTAGGGCAATCTCTTTCTGCCCCGTTTGACCGCCAAGAGCCTGAGGACGATGAGGATCAGGAACAGCAGCAGCATGGCCGACGTCAGTGCCAGGAACAGGGTGAGGAACTGCCAGGGGTGCCCTTCTTCTAGGGCAAGGACAGAAATGCGGTGTTTGGTGAGGACAAGCTTGACCTGAACACACACGCCCCCCCCCCAAAGACAGAGCCTCCAGGGAGGCAGCAGCCTGGGCTCCTCCAACCCCTGACTTAACAAGCTTAGATGACTTTGCTGTCTTCTCTTTGTTCTGTTTTGTTTCTGAGACAAGGTCTCGTGTATCCCAGGCTAGCCTCAAACCCCATATGTAGCTGAGGACGACCTGATCCTCCTGCCTCTAGCACCAGAGTGGGAGAACTGTAGGTGTGCACCACCGGCGCTCAGATTCACACAGTTCCAGGCCTTTCCAACACGCAAGACAAGGGCTCTACCAGCTGAGTCACATTCCAAGTCCCAGACCTAAGCGACTTTTAAAAAACGAACCCAAGGTTAGTGACTCTTCTACAGAAGCTAAGTAGCCTGAACTACTGAGCTTGGAGAAAGCACAAGGCCCTTTAGTTCCCGGGGCTCGGCCTTTGTAAGGGTGTGTCGTCTGTTTGGGATGAGGGTCACCGTCACCGGCTGCTGACTGAGTGACAAACACCCAGGAAAACAAGCCAGAGCTGCCTGCTGCAGGCAGAGCTGGGGGACCCAGCAGTGCTGAACAGACAACCGTGCACTTGTTTGGATAAGGTCTTTCAAGGAGTCTTACTGTGTAGCCCAGGCTAGCCTGGGACTTGCCGACCCCCTGCCTCGGCCTCTGTAGTGTTCTGATGCCGCCATATCTTACTTAACAGCGATTTTAAAAAGAACGTTTGTTTAATAGCAATAGAGCAACCACCTGGTTTTCTCAACCGGGCAGGCGTGGCGGTGGTCGGAGCACCTGGAGAGGAGCCGACTGAAGCAAGCGCGCAGACCACATCTGCCTCCGAGGTCCCCTCCTTCAGCACAAGTTTTCCTTCCAGAGAGCAACTTAGACGGGCCAAGAGAAAGAGTTCAGGTGATTAGTTTAGGGCCAGAGGAGCACGGTGAAGCACCTGGCACTTGTCACCCCCGTGAAGTAACCCATCGATGCGGTAGGTGGGCTCGGGCTCACAGGCAGATGGTGTGAGAAAGTTCCGGGCGACTCTCTGGCCTACACCTGTTTCCCTCGGCTTTCAAGGGGGGCTGTGGCCTTAACCCCACTCCGCCCACACACCAGGTTCTTTTCTCCCCCGGGGGGAGGAGCCACCATGACGCTGTAGTTTCAGCCGGTGTGGCTCAACATGCTCCCCCTGAGTCTTCTCTCAACCCTACCCTCCCCCCCTCTGCACCCCCCCACTAGTTCTTGCTCCTTTGACGGATGTGGCCACGTGTGGAGCACGAGCAGGGATTCCCAGCAGCAACCTCGGACAAAGCAGGGGTGACCTCGGGTCCGCACTTCACAGAGCGACCCATCAGCAAGTCTGCAAATCCCATGCAAGCCTTCTCTTGCTCAGCTGCTTAAAAGAGGGGTGGCCTGTGCTCCCCGGATTGGGGTTAAAGCAAATTAATGAGTCCCAGGGACGCAATCTCACCGTGCTAAATACGGTTCATGAATAGCAATTGTTGTTGCCATCATCATCATCAGTAACCATATTCACCGTCACCATCCTCACCACCATCACCACCTTTTTTTTTTTTTTTTGGTTTTTTGAGACAGGGTTTCTCTGTATTGTTTTGGATCCTGTCCTTAAACTGGCTCTGTAGACCAGGCTGGCCTCAAACTCACAGAGATCCGCCTGTCTCTGCCTCTTGAGAGCTGGGATTAAAGGCATGCACAACCAACGCCTGGCCTTTTTCTTCTCCCTGAGAGCCATGTCCATGTCCCCATTCTACACGCACTCACCTAAACATTCTAATCAATTTTAGCTGAAAGACCTCTTTAAAAAATATCCTAGTCTGTTGCCCACCAGTGTGCTTGTAAAACGTTGCAAATATGTAACCAAAGTAACAATAAAACTGGCTTTCTACTAAAGGGAACCAAGCAGGAAAAGATGACAGGCATTTAAAATGTGGCTTTTGTCGGCAGGGCATGTGACTGCCAGTCTGCCTCCACTCTCTCCGGGCCAGCATGTCCCATGCCCACTGTTGTCCTAGGCACCATCAAACCTTACTGGGCCAGTGCCAACCTTGCAAGTCCATTCGGATCTCTGCTGCTGGCTGTGTCCCTCCAGTGGCCATCACACCCTATATGTATGACCCTGAGCACGTGACATGGGCCAGCCAGTCACAGAAGAACAACCAAGAGCTCAGAAAGAGACAGAACTGAAGACCCACATTCATACAAGACTCTATGACCCACAGAGTTCCCCTGTCACCTAAGGTGTGTTGCTGCAGATCTACACTCCAATGACAATGTCCTTTTTCCAATTTGTTTTTCGGTTTACCTTGTGCTTTTCGTGTTATGAGAAGAATGAGAATGTATACGTACTTTGTCCAGGGCCGACAGGCGCCATGACCGTTCTTATCGTTAAATGTCCCAAAGCCACAGTTTTTACAACCTTGAAGACAAGTTAAGAATCAATAGGAGGCTTTTTACCATTTTAAAAATTCCCTTGTGATAAACCAGCGGCTTGGTGTCTCAAGTTACCTGTGCAAATTGCTCCGTGAGTATTTTAAGGATTTAACTTTTTATTCACATGTATGTATGCATGTATCTTTACGCGCATATGTGCATTTGTGTGCAGATGCCTGCAGAGTCCAGTAGGGGGCATCGGATTCCCCAGAGCTGGAGTTACAGGCCTTTGTGAGCTGCCTGATGTGGGTGCTGGGAACTGAACTTGAGTCCTCTGTAACAGCAGCAGTCACTGAGCCATTGTCTCTCCAGCCCCTGCTTAGTGGTTATTGAATTAAAACCCTGAGATTGCTCATTTTCAATCTGATCGTATGAGGGATATTGTGTATATCTAAAATGTGTAAAAACGCAAGGCTCTGATGATTAACAAAATGCCCTGGTTTCTAATTACATTAATTTACAGAAACACAAAAGAACATATAATGGAATATAATTAAAACACGGTATTAGCCCCCCCCCCCCATACTGCAACTCGGTGAAGGCTCTCAAGCCAGGAGAAACGTGTCTCCATCACAAAGGCGGGCTGGGTGGGGAGAGCAAACCTACCCTGCTCTGTTAACTCTTGACCCGGCTTGCAATCCTTTTCACACCAGGCACACTTTGGTCCCAGGCAGTGGAGTCCCTCGATGCACTCACACTCTGCGTCACTGGTCGGGGAGCAAAGCTTCTTGAACCTGAAATAACCTACAAAGCCCCAGCTCTGTGTTACCCGTGACCTCCGGAACAAGAAACAAATGCGTATTCTGCAGTTTAGTGTGTGTGTGAGTGTGTGTGTGTGTGTGTGTGTATGTATCCATTGTTCTTCTTATAATGTTAGTTATAACATTATAACTTTAGAAATGTCGTATTCACCTATTTACTGTCTTTTTGTGAACAACAACAAAAGCCTCTCATGTCAAACGAGTATTTTCTCTATTATTCTAAAAATTCAGCCAAGATGATAGCTTACTGGTGGCCATGTCAGAGGGACAGCAGGCGGAAGCTGACTTGAGAGGAACGGCCCACCGGCATGCAAGGCACTGACGGGTGGATCTCAGATAGGCAAGGCCAGAGAGCCTCGGCCCCAGAATGTCTCTGGCTACTGCTGCGTCTTTACATGTTTGCTGCTGCCACTTTTCTCTGGTATCAGGCATGGTGTGACTGGGTGTGGGGAGATCCCCGCTGCCCTTAATGTGGTGTGATTATCTCATAGAAATATCCCTTTCTACTGGGAGGTTTTTGTTTGTTTGTTTTTTCGAGGCAGGGTTTCTCTGTATTGTTTTGGAGGCTGTCCTGGAACTCGCTCTGTAGACAAGGCTGGCCTGGAACTCAGAGAGATCCTTCTGCCTCTGCTTCCCTAGTGCTGGGATTAAAGGCATGCGCCACCAATGCCCGGCTCTACTGGGCATTTTTATCCATGGATTACTATGAAGATGATTTCCTCCTAAGCTGTACTGTTTAACTGAAGCAATGATTACATATAACAACAGTGTTAGTTTAAATAGGATTTGGATGACTGAGGGTCTTTAATAAATATAGTAAAGGATTGCGATAGAGGTCAGTTTAGTGGGAAAACTAATACAGGTAAAAGCATGATATGGTATTGCCTCTGCCCCTGATAAAGCAGGGGCTGTGGAGAACAGAAAATTAGAACAGGGAAGTGTCACACGGCTAGTTTCTCTCGAGAGGTCATATAGACTCTGGCTTAGATTAATGACCAAGGAAAGCAACTGAGTCCCAGGAGCTAACCTAACTCAAGTTCTTTTCAACTTAATGTTGAGAGATGTGTTCGTGGGTTTCAGCGTGCATCACAGCTGGAACAAAGCTTTAAATAATGACTTAAGGTTAGGTTAAGATGATTTTGTTAATGGCTTTGAGGTTAAAGAAAAATCTTAGGAAACCATTTTAAAAGGCACACTTTTAATAGTTGAGTAGGGACTCGTTGGGGTCAGGGGACGAGAACGATGACAGCCTGGCTATTGATGACCGAGGCACCTTTGCTGCTGGGATGGGTTGGTGATCAAGGGGGATGATTAATACCTTGTAACCATTTCTGTTCTCAGCTCCTGACATAAAAAAAAAAACCTGTTGATGAATGGGCATGCACCCTGAGGATTTAAAATAGAGCTGACTGGTTCTTTTTCACATAAAAATTTAGATTTATAATTCTTCCTTAAGAGATTGCCTTTTGAGATTAAAAACATAAAATGATTGGTCCTTTCTTTGTAACTGCAAAATACAGCTCGCTAGCCAAAGAACTGACTGAGAGAAATAGCTTGCTTGCCCTCTGTTAATCTATAACAAGGTGGTGGCGCAGCCTTTAATCCCAGCACTTGGGAGGCAGAGGCAGGCGGATCGCTGTGAGTTCAAAGCCAGCCTGGTCTACAGAGTGAGTTCCAGGACAGGCTCCAAAGCTACACAGACAAACCCTGTCTTAAAAAAAAAAAAAACTCATGTAAATGAAATGAAAAACATGATGTTTTTTACTTGTATTCAGTGTAATCATTCACTTAAAATAGTAAGTAACCTCATTATAATTTTTGCACTGCTTGAAAGATTTTGCTGGGATAGAATCTGTAAGCCGTAAGGGAGAAGTTAGTTAAAAGGAAGACATCAAGAGATGTGGGAACACCAGACCTTGAGCAGAGACCCACTTCCCCTTCTGCCTGGGAGTAGGCAGCTGTAAGACAATGTTTAGTAAAAACATGTTTACTAAAAACGATACAATAAGTTCCTGGGAAAGGCCTTCCCACGGAAACCGCCCTGACCTCGACCTTGTCCAAAGACTAATCGCACCTTAAAAACCCACACACATCCACCTCTGGTGTCAGAGCAGAACCAGCCAGGGGAGAGGAGAGAGGAGAAGCTTCTCTGGTGGGAGCTTTTCTTAGGAGGTTTTCTTGAACCTTTTTGGAGCCTGTTTAAAGTTCTCTTTACATCATTGAACGAGTCTCTGTGTTGTCAATCCCTGACACCCTCCGCACGTTCTCGGACACAGGCTGAGCAGCAGACGTGACAAAGAGAGACAGAAGGGATACATCTGGATAGGGCTAAGAAAAGAAATAACAGAGAGAGAAGATGATGGTGAGACCCTAAAGAGGTAGGGTGTGTGTGTGTGTGTGTGTGTGTGTGTGTGTGTGTGTGTGTTTTCCCTTTTTCAACAGTCCTAAGGAGTTAAGTTTGCCCCCCCCACTCACTGGCCCCAGGGAGTTAAGTTTCACTCCCTCAGACAGAAAAGTCAAGATGAATGATTAGCCTGCCAACTCCATGGGTTCTCCCTCAATCCCTGAGCTCATGAAATAATTGGACTACACCTGCTGTGGACAGAGGAGTCAGCACCCCTGTGAGGCTCAAGATTCAAAATAAAGACCCGTTAGTAAAGAGGGGCCAAAGCTGGTCTCTCCCCAGCAATCCTAAAGACAGAGATGATTCAGTCTGAAGCAGACTCCAGACCGGGGAGCCTGAAGATCGCAGATTCCAGCTCAGCCTGGGCAATGACAAGATCCTGTTTCAAAACAGACTGACAGGCCGGGCAGTGGTGGCGCACACCTTTAATCCCAGCAATTGGGAGGCAGAGGCAGGCGGATCTCTGTGATTTCGAGGCTGGGCTGGACCGACGGCCTCGAAAACAATACAGAGAAACCCTGTCTTGTAAAAAAAAAACCCAAAAAATAATAATAACAAAACGGACAGACAGACCCACCTTCGCACACTCTGCAGATGTTGCAGTAAAGCTGTCCACTCTTGCTGGAGTAGGTGCTTGCCGGACACCTGGAACAAACCGGAGTGTCTTTCTTGCAGAAGGTACCTGAACAACACGAGACATCACTCAGGTCATGGGCGTCCAAGTCTGACAACACACAGCACAACATGGTGACAACACTCGGCCACCACTCAAAGCACTGTGATCTTTACAGAGAAATCAGGATAAATGCTCCATTTGTCCTCTCATGGCAATAGGCATTTAGGGTTGGCATATAAGACTACGCACTTGCAGGGTGCCCTTGGCACAACCAACCAGGACTAACAGCATAGAACCGCTGTAACAAAGAAATCAAGGGGAGAAACCCCTGAATCTGTTGCTCTCCTCTGGGAGGAGGTCACAGCAACAGGACAGCACCCAAGAGAAGAGCAATGCTGCCCCCTGCTTGCACCTTGCTGCAGAGAGCACCTTGTATGTACAAAGCCGCAATCACCGGGTGCCGTTCTGAGACGGCCCTGGGACCCTCCAAGCACACCTGAGACAGCTTCTCTGACGGTGCTCAAATGGCAGAGTTGAGGTGCTGAGGTTAAGTGAGCCAGCCGGCTCCCCACCGCCCATTGGTTGTATCCAACAAGCCTCTGCAAGGGAATGAGTGGTCTTCTAGCCAGGCTAACTGAGATGGCTTTCCAACAGCCAGAAAATGTACCTGTCAGTTTGGGACTCACCGGCTTCACACCTGTCACAGGAATCCCGCAGGGCTCTAGGCTTTTCAGCGCCCACCACCAACAGCACAGTTACCACCACACTGTAACAGCTATTCCCCATGACAAAGTCTCGCATGCGCACGACACTAGCAAAGGAGATACCAAAAGAATCTCAGTCAGACGAGCTGCCCTCTGGCTGGTGGCGTAGCTCAGTTGGCAGGGTGTTTGCCTAGCATGCACCGGTAATTCAGAAACCATAGTGGTGGTCCATGCCTGTGACTCCAGCATTCGAGAGACGGGGGGTCAGGAGTTCAAGGTTATCCTCAACTGCAAAGTAAGACCAAGGTCAGCCTGGGCTACATGAGACCCTGTCTTTAACAGATGTCATTCTGCAAAATATAAGCAGTGTGAAGGGTTTTCCTTCCAGAACTATCCACATTGCCACCAATACTTTAGCAGTTCTTCGGGGTCTTAAGGAGAATTAAGACTGGCATATTGGGGCTGGAGAGACCATTCAGCGGTTGAGGGCACCCACTGCTCTTGTAGAGGACCCAGGTTTGGCTCCCAGCACCCATGTTGGGTGGCTCACGGCTGTCTGTAACTCCAGCTCCAGGGGATCCTACACCTCTGGCCATCAAATGTACATACTCACATACAAACGTACACAGACAATTTAAAACTTAAAGGTCTATTTTTCAAAAAGTCTGGAATATTATGGAAACATGGTCCATCCTCAGAGAGTCAGTTCTATAACAGCCACTGACTTTGCGCATGTCCGCCAAAGCCCAGGGTGAACTGAGAGCAGGAACACTGGGGACTTTCAGATTCTTGGCATGGGCATCCATACTGCAGCCACGCTGCCCTTGAAGCACAGTTCCGATGATGAATGCCATCTAATGGGTCCCCTCAGCGAGAAGGAACCCATGGTTGTTGCTCTGCCCTCTTTGACTGGAAATTTAGTTGTTCCAATTTTGGAAGATCATAAGCACAAACCTGCACTTGCCAATTTTGAGATTTGAAGCTTGTAAAAAAAAGAAAGAAAAACCAAATAAAACCAGCAATTAAAAAATCCTGAGGCTAGAGGTGATGCTCAGCTGGTGGAAAGACCGTCTGTCATGCATGAAGCCCTGGGTTCCATCCCTAGCACTCAGTCAGGCACAGTGGTTGACATCTGTAATCCCAGCATCCAAGACATGGAAGAGGAGAGTCAGAAATTCAGGATCATCCTTGGCTATACAGAGAGCTTGAGACTAGACTGGGCTACTACATGAGAGCCTGTCTTGAAAAGAGAAGATGTGGGAGGGACCGAATTCATTTTTCTGGGTCTTTATATAGGGGACTATGAGATAGAAGCTATAGGGAGAAAAGTCTAGAGCTCAGTAGTCAACACAGTCCATCGTTACTTCTCTACTTCCCCCACCAGCCCCGAGTAGACAAACCTGTGATCTCAGGGCAGCAAAAAACCTTCTGCTCCTCCAGAAGCTCAGTGATGTTCTGCAGCTCGCTCCCGAAGACCACAGGTCAAACACAGAACTTGTGACTCAACTGAGCGGAGCCTCCTGGGAAATCCCCACGCAGCCAGCTCTGGGGGGTGGCTCACCCTCGCTGCTCTCAAAATCCCCAGCGCCCCGGTAGCCACTTGATAATGTCACTTTAAAGGGTTTCTTGGAATCAGCTGTCTACCCTTAGGATATTTCCTAACCAATTTTAGGGAAAAGACTTGGTCACTTAACATAGCCCTTTATGCATGCCAAAGCTTTTTGATGTGTCCTTAAAATTCTGGAGACTTCAGGGGTGAGCCCAAACTAAAGGGTGCTTTTGCCACAAAGCCGGTCTCCTAAACCATAGAAACAGAAAGACGTGCCTCTTAAATCCAGAGTGGAGCTGGGCCGTGGAGAGCACGGCTCCCCGCTCTGAGGGACCCGGGGATCGGTCTCACCCCTGTCTGTGGTTAGGATGCCCGCGTGCAAACGCGAGGGCTCGCTCTGGCTGTGGTCAGCAGGAGGTGCTGTGCTGCGTCCTGAGACTGGGGAGGAAGGGGAACCGTAGGGCGGGGTGGAGGGAAGGAAGTGGGGCGTTCCCGGGCACTAGATGATCTTGCTGGCAAAGTGAGGATCCGCGGCGATTTTTAGAAAAACATTAAATTGAGTGAAAGAAAAGGAGAAGACAAGAAGGGGAAGGGTGAAGGACGAGGAGGAGAATATGGAGGGGAGAGGGAAGGAGGAGGGAGGAAGGGAGGAGGAAGAGAAAAGGAGGGAATGGTTGCTATGGAAACTGAGATGGACACTTGTTCATCAGGCGACTACAGATGCTCTGGGGAGCCTAGCCTGGGTGGGTGGGAGGGGGGATCACAGTGAGAAGAGGCTGTGCTGTGCCCAGAGTCTGGACACCCCAAGACCACCAAGAGACCAGATCCGATGCCGAAGCAGAGTCTTTGTAGTTACAAGTCCAAACTCGGGCCTGTCATCCCTCCGATGCAGGAGAAACGGCGAGCTGCAGTGGGGTTGAGCAAGGTGGGGGTGGGGTGGGGAGGTCATCTGGGACCCTGCAAGTTGTATAGTAACTTTTTAAATTAGTTTTAATTTTAACGGATTTTTTAGCCATACTTAACAAAACAAAGGTATACATTTTAAAGTAGAGAAGGTTCACATAAACCGAGTCCAGTTATTCATTTATTTATTTATTTGATTTATTTATATTTTTTGGCTGTTCTGCTTTGTTTTCTTCTGCCTTGTCACTGTGCCGGGGGCTCAGACTGACAGAGTGACACAGAGGAAACTTTTAAATGAGTATGCCTGGGTCCAGCAAAGGCATTGCCATAACCCAGCTCTAGAGGCAGCTTCCGGGTAAAGAGCGGCATGAAACAGTCTTCCAGACCACTTCTGTTCCAGCCCCGTGCTTACAACAACACTTACGAACACACCAGAAAACACTGACAAAGCTTCCAACAAAACAAGCACATGCAGCCTTCTCTAGGAATAGACAAAACTTTTCAACAAGACAAACAAGACTTTTTAACCAGAGTCAACCTAATGTAGTCAAGTTTTTAACTTATTTTTATGGCTTCTCTTTAAATTCAGTATTGGCAGATATGAGAAACCACGGCAAACACAGTTCACATGTCCTGTGGCCTTCTACAACTTTTTCTATACCTCCAGTCCCTTCCTGATTCCCCAGACATTTTTACGTCAGTCAGATTCCTCTTCCCGCTCCCTCCATTGCTTTAGTCTCCTGCCTCCCCTTCACTTTCCAGGCAGCATAAAAACTTCTATCCAAGTCTTCCTTGTGGTTTCAATAGCTCTACATTTGCATCAACACATAAAAACCTGCGCCAGAATGAAGCACCTGAGACTAACAGTATTCTCTTAGCCTAATCAATGATAATTTGTAACCAACCCCTCTAAAGGATGGCAACTATTTATAACCCCTTGAATCTGAATGACCAGAGCAGCCCTGGTGGACGGAAGTCTGGCTACGGCATCACAGCACCTCCATAGCTTGGCCCTGAGCCATGGAGCCAAACCTGTTTGGTGTAGACAGAAGTTTTTGTCCCACCTGGTTCTGCAGCCATTTAGTCCCAAATAAACACCAGAGGCTTATATTAATTATAAACGATTTGGCTGACGGCTCAGGCTTCCTATTGGCTAGCTGTCTCTTAATCATTAACCCGTAACTATTAATCTGTGTATCTTCACCTGGCCTTGGCTTACCGGTGATGCCTGAGATTTTTGCCTCCTCGGCAGCCACATGGCGTCTCCCTCTCAACACACTCTGCAATCTCTCTGCAATCCTCTTCCTAGCATTCTTCCTGTCTGGCTACACCCGGCCTGCCCGTCGGCCGAAGCAGCTTTATTCACCAACCAATAAGAGAAACATGTGCTCACAGCATAAAGAAGGACATCCCCTGTCAGTTTGACCAGAAGTGGAAGGGGGCAGTCCTCGGGGCAGGTTGTGGGAACCCCATCCACCAGCGTGGGACAAGGTAGCATTCAGCATGGCAGCAGAAAGTTGTTAACTTTTCCGACCATAGCTACTAGCCCCAGATCCTCTGTTCAGACACTCAACATGGTGGGTGACTAGGAGCTGGTGGGTGACTAGGAGCATGGTGGGTGACTAGGAGCTGGTGGGTGACTAGGAGCTGGTGGGTGACTAGGAGCTGGTGGGTGACTAGGAGCTGGTGGGTGACTAGGAGCTGGTGGGTGACTAGGAGCTGGTGGGTGACTAGGAGCTGGGCCCATGACCTTTGGGCATTTAAACCACCAAAACAGAGGGGCAAATACAACAAAATACACACACACACACAGTAGACAAAACACAAGATGGCCATGCTCAGATCCAACAATGAGACACCAGACCAATGGTTTTGCAGTTGCAACCCAACCAGAGGAAATAGGGGGACCCAATCCCCCCCAAGGGTCTCCCGACCCACCCACAGGGAAACTGGGACATCTCCCAGTCACCCCAGCCTGTGATCCACCAATGTGTCCATCTATATCTTAAGCAGGCTTCACAGAAGGTACTCCACCAGCCAGAGACAGAACCAGAACTTTCCCCGGGGAAAATAGAAAGTCACCTGATGGTTGGCACTCTGAGACTCAACGGAGGGTAGCTGTGGTGGGTTTGGGCTATCCTGGACAAGCCACCAAATGCTGTGCCCAGAGTCTGGACCCCCCAGAGACCACCAAGAGACCAGATCTGATGCAAAGCAAAAAGTCTTTTTAATTGCGAATTCAAACTCGGGTCTCTCGTCGTTCGACACAGCAGAGGAGCAGGAGAGACCCTGAGCTGCAGTGAGGCAGAGCATTTATTGGGGGTAGGGCAAGGGGAGGGGGCCTGGGGGGGATCTGCAAGTTGCATAGTAACAGTCTCAGGATTGGTGCACCTCCAGGATGGGGGAACCTGTCCAGAGTTGATTGGTCAGCTGCAGCTGTGGAAAGGTTGCTGTACCTAGAGGCCCTCCTTACCAGTAAAGCCCATCGGAGTCTGTCAGCTCACTTCTGATGGGTTCATCACCACATAGAGAATATCTGGCAGTTTCTTCCCAGTAATTACAGCAAGGTCGTGGCACAGCCCATCCTGCTGAATCAGGGGCCTACATCATGAGGGCCTGGGTGAGGGCCTGGGCCCTTCATTGGGACATAGAGGCACACAGCTATAATCCCAGAGCTTGTGAGACTGAAGCAATTGAGTTGCAAGCCAGCCCGGTGATGCAGCAAGACCTTGTCTTCAAAATGGGTGGTTTTATCTAAAACAGTTGGACTTCCCACTAGAGTTCAAATGATGGAGGCTTGCTCTTGGACTGAAGGATGAGGGAACAGAAAGGAGCTGACGTTTAATAATACACGCTGGACACGTTCCAAGACCACTCGAGGCTGGTCATGTCACCGCCCTCCTTGGATACGTCAGTGGAGGGGCTGGAGAGGTGACTTCTTGTGCCCACTTTGAAAACCTGGGACTTATAGCTCAGGGCTCAAGGACCTCTTGGATCTGACCCTCATAAGGCCCATGTCCCATAACATAGATTTCAACCTTCAAGCTACCCAAAGTTCAGTAGATTTTAGTCTATTCACTATGCTATGAAGCTATCTCTGGATAATTATATAACGTCCCCATCAACCAAAAAGAAATCCTGGGTGGGGCTAGAGTTGGTTTTATGGTTAACGGCACGGGCCGTTCTTGAACAGAACCCCGTGAGATGCCCAGAATCCCACATGTCGGCTCACAACTGCCTGTAACTCTGATTTAAGGACAAGTGATGCCCCTTCTGACCTTCTCAGTCATTGCATGCATGTGGTGCGCATGTAATCACCCAGGCAAACACACATGCACACAGCTTTCTGATTTTTTGAGACAATGTCTCTCTCAATATGTAGCCTTGCCTGGCCTGTGACTCACTATGGAGGCCAATCTGGCCTCAGACTTCCAGAGATCCACTTGTGTCTGGCTTTGCCTTCTGAGTGCTGGGAACTCCCAGAGATCCCACATGTGCCACCATGACCAGATTTTAAGAAATATTTAAAAACACAATCCCTAAAGCTGGTTGGGTGTGGTGGCACACACCTCTAATCCCAGCACTCAGGAGTCGGAGGCCGGCCTGGTTTACAGAGTGAAGTCTAGGACAGCCAGGGATACACAAAGAAACCCTGTCTCAGGGAAACAGACAAATAAACCGAAATCCCACTTATGTTGTATCTCCCTGAAGCCTTAACCTTGTCCTTGAGACTAATCTTGTCTCTGTGTATTCGTCTCTTCCAGAAATTCATAAAATATAATTAGCCAATCTGTAGTTTTCTGTGACTTGCTTCTTTCACTTAGCGTATTTTTGTAAAGATCTGCTCATATTATAGGTTGTTTTGATACTTCACTCCTTTCTTGGTGTAGGAATATTCCTTAGAGGGTACATCACATTCTGTTTATCCATTCGGCAGCTGGCGGACACTTGAGTTGCTTCCACTCATGGACTTTATGCTGCCATGCAGACATGCCAGATGCCCCCCGGGGTCACGATCTTTGGTGTACACTTAAAGGTGGAGCTCCTGTGCCAAGGGGTTTGCTCGGTTTCACTTGGGGGTTTTCCACAGCAGCCTCGCCAATTTACAGCCCCATCCATAGCAGATGAAGTCTCCAAGCTCCCCACACACTGGCACTCGTGACTTTTCCCATTAAAGAAAAGTGGGAGACCACCCTGGAAGGCTTTGGGGTCCTCAAGCTGGAATTCTGCAAGGGAAGGGACGCAGGTCTGGTGGTTAGTACAAGCCCACACTCAATTTTCAGTCTGACCCTGATGAGTTCAGACTCTGATATGTATGGTCATGTGACCTGAGACAGATTTTGTGTGTGTGTGTGTGTGTGTGTGTGTGTGTGTGTGTGTTCTTAACTCTCCGTTTATCCAGTTGGGCATTTAAAGTATAGTAAATCTGTTCCACCCTATGTATTGAGCACTAAAGAAAACAAATTAATGTGATTTCCATAGCTCAATACTTGGCATGTGTTTCCTAAGGAAACAGTACTCTTTCTGTTTGTTTGTTTGTTTGTTTTTCAAGACAGGATTTCTCTGTATTGCTTTGGAGCCTGTCCTGGAACTCGCTCTGTAGACCAGGCTGGCTTCTAGCTGGCAAAGATCTGCCCACCTCTGCCTCCTGAGTACTGGGATTAAAGATGTGCGCCACCAATTCCTCTCACCACAATCATCAATAAAATAGCTACAAGCCGGGCAGTGGTGGCGCACAT